CAATTTTAGTAAAGATTACAACACCAATATTACTAAATCATAAATGTATAATATATATTTTAATTTTTAATATGTTCGTATAGTAAATTGATTTTACTATCTACAAATAGTAATATTTACTATATGATTTAATCAAATGTAAGGTGTACATCTAATATTATAATATATTACACATTAATAAAAAAATATAGTAAAAATAAAGATACTTTTATGTTTAAGGTAAATAAACAATATATTTAAATATAATATACAATATGACATGACATTTTAAACATTCAATTTTCTTAGTTTCTTCAATAAACTTCCTTGACCCATTACTGGTAATACTTATAAGAAAGAATTGAACCTACTTGGTTGCATAGTATGTACCGATTGCGGCAAAGGCCACGACGCGACGCGTCGTTAGACGGTGTGGATCACGTGATGTTCTTACATCTCGCCTCTGTTGGCTTACCAACCATGTTATATAAGCTCAGGTATTTCTTCGTTTTGGGTGTGTTCCACTACTACAAGTTGCTCGACAGTGTCGTGTCGACACTGATGATTCCCAATATAGGTCAAAACACCTGTCTGTCGGTATTTGAAGTTGATGGAACGCACTCAAAACAAAAAACTTTGGCGAGGTGTAGGTTCAATTCTTTCTTATAACATTTTTGTATATTAAAAAGTACATTAAATATGTTACAATTTTTAATTTTAACATATAAAAATATTCGATTTTAAAATATTTTGTATTTAAAATGGCAACATAATATTTTAAAATTTACTATACTTTTTAGTAATGTAAAAAATCTAATTATAATAAGAATTAAAAACAAAATAGTTGTCCCAAATAGTAATATATAAATTATAGTAAAGGGTATTATAATTATGGTAATCAGCATTATACTTTTCTCTCCGTGTATATCATACAGCGTAATTAACGATTAAATAATTTAGATAGTTTATGTAACTCATTAGGCAGGGTTTAAAAGCAATTTGCTGTTTAAGTCAATCCAATTTATTTTGATACAAATGTATTTTTTGGTGATGGTATACCATTTATGTATAAAATATTGTTTTAATTCTTGTACAATGTCACAAAATACAAACTGTTATAATTACACTTACTTTGTTGGGTTCGGGAATTGTTTCTATAACAACGATTATCCTTTGATTTTTTTTATTACTATAATAGCAAAATATTATTTATCACAGTATTAAAAATTCTTACACGGGAAAGGTTAAAGGTAAAAAAAGGTAAAATCTTAAATTTGTCTGTGTAAATCAAAATTTATCCCTTGAAAATAGACTAACAATCGATATAAAAGCAGTTTTTCACAGTAAAAGAGAAGAAGTTGTTTAATGGGCACTGTACGCAAATTTTTAACGCTTTATTAGTTAAATCTAGTTAACTATGGCGAAATCAAAAGGTTAATACAAACGTTCATATAATCTTTTCTCAAATATTGGCGTCAAAAAACTATTTAATATTAATGCATTTTTGTATTAAAATAATAAAATAATTTTTACATTTAGTATTATTTTACAAGAAAGGGACTTAATTTTAACGATTCTATGACATTTGAAAACTGACTTCAGCCCGTGACTAAAAACCTGTTGCTAACTTCAGCCCGTGACTAAAGCGTCACTTGTGTCATGGAAACATGTACGATAATGGGCGTTTTAAAGGTGGGATTAGAAAAATACCGTTTTTGTACATTACAAAATTAAGTCTTCTGCAAAAAAGTATATTATTATTTTTTCAGGTCATGAAAATTTTGAATTTTATTTGATGACCTTTTTTGTAGAATTTCCCCCAAAAATGTATTTATTTTTTTTTTCAAAGTAAAGTGTTTAAATTTCTTGATAAAATGTTAAATTATATTTTATTGCTGAACTAAATTTGTTTTATTTGCGAAAAAAAACGCCAAAAGGCCAAAACTACTTGATTTGATTAATAAATAAAAGGGTGAAAAGAACAAAATCTATAGTTATACTAAGGTACACAATTTTTTTAACTTTTTAACACTAAGTTTTAAAAAAGGGTTTTCTACTCGAGGTGTAGTGTCCGTGTTGTGAGAACTGGCCAAATTGCTGATTACATCTCGCTGCTTTCGCTGTACCTGTTTGCCAATATAAGGCTCTTGGCAGCCGGCTGTCTGTCGCTGCCTGTTTCTGTAGCAATATCAAAACAAAAGCACTTTGAATTTGGTTTAAAATGGTCATTCTTTAATGGATACAAAATACGGAGTATAAAATATAAGTTAACTGTTTTAAAATATTCTACTTTGAGTATGAGTATGAGTATGGGAACGTATGGCAGGCCCCAGATATATTATCCTCCACGATCTCCCGGGGATATTTTACCCCCTTTTCGTTCTCCTGCGTATCTTGCCAAATCACAGCATTACCTGTGTTTGTTGGATCCGAGGTTTTTACGCCGGCTGGTTGATCCGCCCTAGGAGGTTGTGGAAGACAATGTCAAAGGTTAAGGCCGCTTCCGGAATTTTTGTCAGCCGGGTCGGGCCATACGTCCAGTTTAGGAGGGGTTTTTGGGGGACATTGAACTGACCCAAAACTAAGTACAATCCGGAATCCCCCTTAACCAGGGCTTTACTGTTTTAAAATATTCTACTTTGAGTTCATAAAATTATAAAAGAAGAAATCTTTGAAAAAACAAATTGTCTTTATAAAATTACCTGTTATTTGGTTTTAATTTAGTATTAAATACATAATAATTCAAAAGCTACTTGTCTGAAAAGTTTTTAGTGTGGTGGTATCTCTAATGTGCGCTATTTCTAGGACATCCTGTATAAAATAACAACTAACACAGCCTGATTATAAATATTTAGTTGTAACGTACGCAATAAAAAAATATTTGTAAATTTTAACCAGATTTTATGTTAATCCATGTCCTCGTAACTTAATGTTAAGTTTATAACCATCTGTTAACTAATTAAATAAGAGGTTTGTAATTATAACAAACATTTTGTGCATTTAATAGCAAAATCCTATATCAATATTTCAACCATAATAATTATGGTTTTGGTAAGAATTATTCTTGTAATTTTCAAAAAGGACCTTATTTTTACAAACCTTTTTTAGACCCATTAACAAAAGTATTTGTTGTAAATTGAGAACTTAAAGAGAATTTTGATAAGAAATATTGCTTTATTATTCAATTTCCTAAACAAAAAAACATACCTACATAAATAAACACAAAAATAACCTACATACACACAATTAAATAACACACCATTCTGAAATCTTAAAATTATAATGGAATTTGGTAGAATATAATTATCAGAAGTACTTCAACACTTGTATTTCGTAACTTTAACCCATTTTACTGTGACTAGTTTGAAAATTAGTGATGTCATCTTTTTTCGTATATAAGGTATAAGGAATCCGAATAACAATGATTATTTCCCTCATTATAATATGAACCAATCAAAAGCCTTGAATTTTCGAATAAATTTCGTTTAAATAAGCGATTAAATTACTAGAACTATTTAACAGCGATTAAATTTTAGCCTCCATATTGGATTTTTGTTTACGATTTTATGGTGTTATTTACAAGTTTTAACAAACATTTTTTAAAAAGCAATAAAAAATAAGTTATCTAGTTTACGAAATATCAATTATTACTTATTACATACCTTAAATGAATGGAATTTTCTTTAAAAAAATATTTATAAATTTTGACACATACGTCAGATTTTATGAATTGTCAAATAGTTTCCTTTAATTCGAGAAATAATCTAGACGTATATCACTCAACCTATAAATTTAATCTGTCAAACTATGCTCAGTAAGTTTTTTATTTGATTTTTCTTTTTGGAAAATATTTTCATGCAAAATAATTAAAAATAAAACCCCTCGACCGCTACGCGGTCTCGTGATTTTATTAAATTATTTTGCATTCAACATTTTCCAACAAAAACCAAACAAAAAACTACTGAGCCTAGTTTAACCGATTAAATTCATAGTTCTCGTGATAAAATATATGATTATTTCCCTCATTATAATATGAACCAATCAAAAGCCTTGAATTTTCGAATAAATTTCGTTTAAATAAGCGATTAAATCACTAGAACTATTTAACAGCGATTATTTCCCTCATTATAATATGAACCAATCAAAAGCCTTGAATTTTCGAATAAATTTTGTTTAAATAAGCGATTAAATCACTAGAACTATTTAACAGCGATTAAATTTTAGCCTCCATATTGGATTTTTGTTTACGATTTTATGGTGTTATTTTCAAGTTTTAACAAACATTTTTTAAAAAACAATAAAAAATAGTTTACGAAATATCAATTATTATTTATTACATACCTTAAATTAATGGAATTTTCTTTATAAAAATATTTATAAATTTTGACACATACGTCAGATTTTATGAATTGTCAAATAGTTTCCTTTAATTCGAGAAATAATCTAGACGTATATCACTCAACCTATAAATTTAATCTGTCAAACTATGCTCAGTAAGTTTTTTATTTGATTTTTCTTTTTGGAAAATAGTTTCATGCAAAATAATTAAAAATATTGTATATATATATATATGTATATATTAAATTATTTTGCATTCAACATTTTCCAAGAAAAACCAAACTATAGTATACTGAGCCTAGTTTAACCGATTAAATTCATAGTTCTCGTGATATAATATATGATAACAGATTTCTGGTAATATATTACACACTATGGACAGGTGTTACGAACACGTTACAAATTAGAATAAAGTAAGCAGAAACGTAAGTTGCAGACGTTAAAGTCAGTTGAACTTATTGCTGCGTATTGTCAGTGGGAAATGTTTTGATTGACTGCCTGAAATCACGTGCACTTTTTTACCGAAATAATTTGTCAAACATTAACAAAATAATCTGTAACCTTTCAAATGCTTACAAAATTGCATATAAAAATTTCACAAAAAAAATACAAACTTATGTTAATAAATCTGATTTTTATTTCCCTTTTGTTTTTTCTATACTTAATAATATTTTTTTTTGCAGTGTTCTCCAAGGGTCAAACGGAAACGAACCGCTACCGTTTCTTGGCCAAAAACGGCGGTTACGTTTGGGTGGTGACACAAGCCACCCTGATTTACGACAAAATGCAAAAACCTCAAAGCGTCGTCTGCGTCAATTACGTCATAAGGTAGGATTTTTCTCCACTTTATTGCATGTATGAGGAAATTTGTTCAAAGACTCCTTCCGTTTTCATTTTGCTTAATTAAATTGAAGGAAAGCCTCATTTTGTTAATTAAACGACATTTTCTTAAACAAGTGTGTTTGTTTTATTTACTAATGAAAGTGACATGTTCATTTCATTAATAATAATCTTTAATTTCGTTATTATGTGTAAGTTAATCGTAGATACACACGCAACAAAATTACAAAGACTTTGAACACAATCCTCTGGCTTGTGTATCGGATATTCCTTCTGTGTGAACAATATCATTTTTTTACCTTTTTATATCACCGTAATTGCGGCTAAAGTATACAATTTCAGAAACTCAACACGAATATTTATTTTGTCCGAACTCGACTTTTTTTAAGTCGGAATTTATTAGGTAGCAATTGGAAGTTTTGTGTTGTTTTATTTGCCAAACTCTACATTAAAAATAAAATGTTTTCGTGTACTGCATGCATATAAAATTAAATTTTATAACCATCGCGCTATTTTAATAATTTTTGGAAAACATTAAATTTAACAACATCAAAAGCATTGCATTTTACATGATTTTATCGGCAGCGATATTGCCGTTTTTATGGTTTACATTTTGCAGTGGGGTATCCGATACTTTCTTGCTTTCAGCGCGCCATATTAAACGTTCTAATACCGAACGCATAAAAACGCGTTGTGAATTTTAAACCCGTATATTTTACGGTGCGTTTCGTTTTTCGGGTTCGGCAAAAATTTAACACTCTTGTGCAGATAAGAACAGCGGGATATGCCCTTATTTGGTATTTATTTGGTCAATGTTGTTTTTATAAATTTTTGAAATTTGGTGATATAAATTTACAGTTTAAAATCATCAACATGATTTTAAATAATATTTAAAATGGTAAAAATATTTACAACTATAGGATAAAACTAGTAAAATGATTTTAGTGCAATTTTTCTGGGCTTAGCAAAATTATTTGATCATTATTTGAAACTTTTCTTAAAAGGATTAAGAGGGTTCCCAAATCATTATTAATTTGAGCAGCATTAAAAATGAGTTATTTTGCAAATAATTTTGTTTACCCCAGAAAAAGTTTTTGGCGCTTGGTTCCTTTTCGATAAACGCCATCCAATTATTTTTGTACACAATTTTATATAAAGTATAAATGTTTTTTTTTATTTTAGACATATTTTCTTCAAAATTGTGAAACCAAAAGTTGTCAAAAACCTTTTAATAATCTATATTTACCTTATGTTTTACATAACTATATATTTTTTTTCTTACCTTCTTAAAAGTTTTATAAAATTTCATAACAACATGTTTTATGGAAAATGTTTTGTAAGTAGATTAACGTGAGAATTAATTTTTAAAAAATTCGACAGATTTTTAAAAACCTGTTGCTGGGAAAGACTTTCAATTTATTGATCTCTCGTGCAGTATAAACACAATGGGTAAAAAATTGTATATTATGTATCCAGTTTGATAAAAGCCTTTTTAATTACGAATTTAATTTAGGCACAAGCTAGCGAGCGTTTAATTAAAAGAGTGTCTAGAAAAGTTTATAAACAAGTTGCAATCTATACTTTTTCCACGACAATTACTTATTATTATCTAAAATTGATTTAAATTAAATATTAGTATAGAGCGACATCTATAAAAAAATGAGTAACCGTAAGAATGAGAATCTGTATTACCGGCGGCAAATCGTAAATCGATATTAATTCCTTGAAAATGGACTAACAGCCGTTTAAATCCGATTTGGAAGCAGTTTTTCACAGTGAAAGTAAAGAGAATGTGTTATGGACACTCCACTCTGAAGTCTCCACACTAAATTTTTAATGCGAATTTATAAATTTTTTCAATTTAAAAATTCTATTCCAACAAATTAAAATTGTTTTTTAGACAAATTTTGAATATTAAAAATTGTTGAATTGTTGATGTTAAAAATGAAAACAAATATAATTTTGTTATAAATCAATAAAAATATATTTAGTTTTTACATTTTTATTGTTTTCATAAAAAAAAATTACTTACATAAAACATATAAAAAACATTTAAGAATAGTTTTAACGTTTTTATTTATAGTATTATTAGGTTTAAAAAATACGACCTACTAATACGTTTATTTTAAATTTGATGAAAACTTATTTTGTTATATGTTATACAGGGTATCTCATAACTCGCGCCATAAAGCAACTCTTAAGGGTAATTCGCATAGTTAGTTAAAACCTATTTGCTTTAACAGCAGCTATATAGCTTCAATAAATCCATCATAGGCCTAAAAAAGAAGCAATTTGTGTGTCAACCACAATGCAACTTTGCTTTATTGTATTACTCCTGTCACACCTTACAGAAGCCATGAAACCTACCTTATAAGGTAGCTGTATACAGCTGTCATAAAACCTGCAATAGGTTTTAAGAAGGTAGTATAATTTTGTCGTATACGATATCAATAAGTACTTATTGTTGATATACCTTTTTACTTTATTGTTGTACTTTGTAAATTCCATATTGCTTTAATCAAATACTTGTTTGGTATATTGTTGCCTGTTTCATAAGCATAGGCCATTATTGATTTTAAAAACTTAAGAAAATTATTATCTTTTGTCAACCAATAACTTATAAAAATCATAAACAAATACCACTTTACTGATAAAAGTTGATTGCTGAGACACAAAACGTATGATGCCCATTGAAATGGGCTTAATTTAAAAAATTTTAAAGGCTTTGGTTAAATTACTTACCCGATCTACATTCGGTTATTTTAGCCATCTCTGTCGAAAAAATATTATCTAGCATTAACATGCTCGTAGAAACTAAGTTTTTTAAATTTTCTGAAAAATATTATCTATTCGTATTTTATATTAAAATTATTTCATCATGGCAGAGCAATATTTTCTAATTTAAATGGTTATGGTTATAAAACAATGTACTCTTAAAAAAAGTTTAATTGCTTTAAAAAGTGTTTACAACTATTTGTTAAAACTAATAAGCCCTATGACTGCATTTTTCAAGGCAATCATAAAACCAATTGGAATTTTGTGCTAGCATTTTAAAACAACTCATCAAAAGTCAGATGACAACACCTAAAAATTGTCTTAATTGCTGAGATAGAATGATGCGGATTTAGCTCTTGGTCCAACCACAGGACGTTGAAGGAATACAATGAGTATTATCAACCGGATGTTTTGCCAACAACACAGAAGAACAACTTTTAACAGCTCTTACAGGAGCCAAGTTTGTTTTTCTATAAAAATTTACACTTTTTTTAAACTTTTGCATGGCGAAGACATGTTGACAATAGTTATTTTCTTCGCGGTTATCAAGATAAAAACGTTTTAAGAAAGAAATAATAGGAACAAAATGGTTTACACTGGTGCAAATTTGCAAATTGGAAATCAAATTGGTTATATTAAAGACGTATTGCTGCTCTACTAGGAACTATCATAAAACCTTTTTATTGTTTGGTTCTGTATTATTCTTACATAGAGGAAAAGTGGTCCTAAGACCAAATGCTCCCATGTATGAGAACAGATTTATTAAAGCCAACTTTCCGACCACCATTAAAACCAATAGGCATCTGATAAAACTTCATGACCATAGGCGTTTCTTAGGGGCAAGTTGCCCTAAAAAAGCATTATCGGTTAACAGTTAGAAATCATTAATACTTTACTTTAAAGTCGCTCATAGAGCCTAATACTAAAACTTCATTATCTCAAGACCAACTAACACAAAGTCTAGGACACAGTCGGCCAAAATATTTCGTTTCCTAGCTCCCAGGTTTAACCTGCAACTAACATTCCAATTTAATCTTCGATAGATAATAGACACAAACTTGTAAACACCATTTGGCCATTCATTTTGCCTTTCGAGCTACAAAATAATTAAACCTCCTCAGTAAATAAAGACGCTCGACTGAAATCATCCCCATTGTCGACTTGAATAGTTCTCTCGAATTGCATTGTCCTCGAACGTTATGCGTTCGAGACGATTTCGTAGGAAAATTCTACCACAGAGACACTGACGCTACTAAATTAAGATCATTAAGGGGATCCGGTACGCGAAAATAATTTCACATTTTCTCGCCACCCACGGCGTCGGTTAATTTAAGTTGATTTCCACACGACGGCGCCGATAATTATCTTAAGCAAATTTTGAAAAATGTCGTTAATATGGTTTCTTAAATCAACAAATTATTGTTAGAGTTAAATGCATATAGGCTCCAAACATAGGTGCAAAAAGTTTAGCTCTAAACAGCAACACTAAAAATATATTCGAATTTATAATATTATTAATTTTATTTATAAACAAATATAACTGATTTTTAAAAAGTAGCAGTGGCACTGCGGTAAGACATCCGCTTGACAAGCGACGGACCAGAGTTCAAACCCCGGCTGGGTCAAAACTTTTTTAAACTTAAATCTATCAATTTGACTATTTCGTTCGGTAGAAATTGACTAATTACACGGTACAACACGATTTTCCTCCCATGAAATTTTTACATTTAGGTAATCATTTATTTTTTTTACACATCCATTCTTATTATTTTAACATTTTTAATTCTCTATTTTGTTATAATTAAATCATTTTTTTTTCTTAAAATATTTTATGTTTTTACATAATACAAAAATTATAAAACATAACAATTTTATTTTTTTTTTAGTAAAAAAAATATTTCTGGTTATAATTTTTGATTTTTTTAAATAAAACAACAGATTTGTATTTATCTTATATTAAATATATGTTGGAAACAAATCTTGATCTTTTAGTTTGACGATTATACATTGCTTTCGAATCTATAGTGGTATCACAACCTAAAAACACCACTTTTTTGGTCCATTGAAAGTTTCTGGAGAACGGAAAAAATATAGATTTGAAATTTAAAAGTGTTTATAATCCATTAAGTCTATTTTTAATATTTTGAACAAAATGCAACTTCCGGTTTGACCGGAAGTGACATCAACATTGTTATTTCAAATAGAACACCCCA